CGTAGGTCTCGGTCTCTTATATTATATAGCTTCATTATTGGCGAAGTATATTACTTTGTTCCACGCTAAAACATTGCACAGGAAGCATGTGAATCTATGTCATGTATGCATCTATTTGTCACGATCTGTCTATGTTTTACTTTGTCTGTCTCTGTTTCCTGTTGTAGTTTGAAAAGTGTTCCCCCTCCCATCTTGTCTGTTGCTGGTGATTGTGTTCACCTGGTGCCCTGTGTTTCTCCTCCCCCCTCACCTGTGTCTTGTTGGTTTGATTAGTCCTGTGTGTATTTAGGTTCTGTTTTCCTGTTAGTGTGTGAGGTCCTTGTTGCTGGTGACTGTGTTCACGTGAGACAGTCATATTGAGGCTGTGTATCATGAACTACAGCGATGAATAAATGCCCACACGGGTTGTATTTTAACTCTCTGCCTCTGCCTCCTTGCTTGGTCGGGCCGCTCAATGGTCAGCTTCACACACGCCCACTCGTGTTATTTAAGCGCTTTGGTTTATTGACCTTTTTCATTATAAAGATCATTATGGTTCATTTATTCTATTCTGAGTAAAATGACCTTCTATTTGAAGTAAAATTACCTTCTATTTGGAGTGAAATGACGTTCATTTGTGAGTAAAATGACCTTCTATTATGAGTAAAATGGCAGTAGAGTTGTTTTTAATATACACTACATAGAGTAAATAACCATCAAGCAGAGTCAAATCTAAGCACATAATAGAGTAAAATGAACTGTAAAAATACAACTCTGAACAAAGAGTACATTTTACTCTATATAGGTTGGGACCAAATGTAATATTTTTAGAGTCACATTTTCTTCAATTTGAGTCCATTTTACTCAGGGAAATTGACTGTGTAACAACCAGAGGGTTGCTGGTTCGCCTCCCAGCATGGCAGAGCGAAGTGTGGTGTGAGGTAAGATGCCATGTGTGTGACTTGGGAGGGTGGTCAACATGAGTACAGAATACCGTCCAACTCCTGAATTTTTGAGGCGGCTGTTCCTTGGCTCAGTGGGTAGTGTGCTGGACTTCGAATCAGAGGATAGCAAGTTTGAGTCTCACTGAAGTCAGCATGTCGTTGTGTCCCTGGGCAAGACACTTCACCCCAACTTGCTCCGGTGGAGATTGTCCACAGTACTGAATAAATCGCTTTGGATAAAAGGGTCTAACAAACAACATGTAATGTAACGTAATGTAATGTGATGGGATGTTTCGACTCCACTTCGAGCGTTAGAACGATTAACGAAGCACTTTTATACCAATAAAGGACTGGATTACCTAAAGCCAGTTGAGTAGCACTTGAAATGTTTGGCTCTATGAAACCTGATATACTTATATGATTCTGTTTTCTTCAAGGTTGTGTCTTCCTGGTCGAATGTACTTATTGTAAGTCGCTTTGGACAAAAGCGTCAGCTAAATGCAATGTAATGTAATGTAATGTAATGTACCTACAGGGCGTGTTATTTCTTCAATCTGTTTAATGTTCTATCAGATATTAAAGAAGAAGGAAGTCCCTATAGAGTCATTTAGTTGTTCAAAATACACCCAAGAGTTATGAACAACCTATTGATTTGCAAGAGAGATACTGTGAGCTAATATGTTTTGAATCACTTGTTAAGGTGATACATTCCTTTTAGTCTTAAATGTCCCATACACTCAGTTCTCAATCCTCATGCGGGCTAACTGTAAAAAGCTTTATCCTGACTGACTGATAAAGGAAACGTTTCCAGTCTAAATATGTTCTTTTAGATAAGACATTTAGAAATTGCAAAAGTAAATGTAATCACATATTTTGATAGCAGGCTGAGCTTGTTTTGTGTCTATTCTACTCTTTAGTGTACTTGTGTGTATATCTTTAGTGTCCTTCTGTGTCTCCTTAGTGTTTTTTAGTACTAGTTTAGATCACTTTATGTCTTTTTGGATTGTTTTTTGTCTCTTTTTGGTCATTCGGTGTCTCTTTAGGGTCATTTCGTTTGTATCTGCTGACATTTTGTTCTTCGTAAACCATACGTTTGTTATTTATTCTTGACTGTAATAAGCTCAATGTAAAAGATTTATTCAGAGAACAATAAGAAGTGTGAAATGTTTCGTTTGATAAATTATAATGCACTATGATGCCAATGTAGATGAGGCGGCATAACAACAAGAGAGTCTCCCTAGTCGAGGAAAGACATTCATCTTGCCATCTAAATAGTTTTTCGGTCGAAAGAAGATCGACATCCTCCATTCTATAGAGCAGGGGTCTCAAACTCAAGGCCCGGGGGCCAAATCCGACCCGCGACTTCATTTTATTTGGCCCTGCAAGAGCTTGCAAAGAATATAATACGTTTATTATACGGTTACATGTCACTTTACAGAAACAGGTTGCCCATAAACTACATGTCCCACAATGCATCTCGTTTTCTGACATGCGCACTGAAGAGACTTGCAATTATTTGCCCTAGACTTCTGCTTTCAGACGTAGTTAATTACTAAGTCATTATTCTATCCGATAATAATCCAATTCAGAGGTAATAATGTAATATAATACATTATTTTATATATATATATTATATATGTATATTTATATAGTTACAACCGGCCCTTTGAGTGCGACCTTAATGCTAATGTAGCCCGCGATGAAATTGAGTTTGACACCCCTGCTATAGAGGAACTGGCTGGGTTTGAGCGCCTTGGTATCACTTTCAGTCTCTCCTATCACTAGCAGCAGAAGTATTGCTGCAACCTCCCACAATGCCAGCCCCGGGGAAATCATTTATCAGACCATATCTTTAAGTTTTCGCCTCGAGTAGCTGTGTGTGGCTCTGCATACTTTCGGGGTATATTGCTAGGATGAAGCAGCCTTTGTGACACATGCTGTTGATAAAACATCCTCACACAACCATCTCCAACACTTTGAAGCAGGCGGCTCCTTTTGCACAAGAGTTGCTATGGGATAAGTAGCTGTATAAGCTGGGGCTGGTTGCCTTCATCACTTTCTTCTCTTATCATCAGTGGGATCTCTTTTCATTTTAACAAGTTGCTGTGCCTGCATATCAAGTGGGACATTAAAAGTATATCCTCATTTGTGTTCTTCTCTTATACATCAGAACATATCTGAGCCTTGTTATTATTTCCAAACACATGATACCTTTGCTGTAACTCCATATATTACTTGTCTCAAAATCTAAGAGATAGTATTTGGTATTTAAAAAAATGAATCTGGTCTTATCTAGAGAGTACAAACATGTTTTACCCATTGAAGTCTAATGCCTGTTAAACGCAGCCTATGTATACTTTAATTTTCTTTCTTTACTGTAAAGGCGTTTCTTTAAGGTAATACGATGTGAGTAATGAATATTCAAATGGTCATTTTGGAGGTGAAGTAACCCTTTATGCAGACACTAAAATAAGAATCCATAACCTGGCAGTATCTGGAGGTTCCATTACTCTCTTGTGCTCATTACAGATAGACAAACAAAATGACTGAATAATGAAACATTGATACACATACACAGGATGAGAAATTAATTTAACGACTGAGTAAGTTCTTAGTTTGTCAAAGGACTTCCAGACCTGCTTCAATGCACCTTTGCATAGATTATTCAAGTCTCTGTGATTCGATGGGACAATGGCAACAAAGCCTGCAGCTAAAGCAACATTAAGGACGCTAGTCACATCCAAATTAATATATATTAGGGATGTAACGATACCAAAAACTCACGGTATGATAATATCGCGATAAAAAGTCGACAGTACGATATTTATCGCGATATTGAAAAATAAAGAAAAAAAATGTGAATTTTTTTTCTTTTAATTATTATTATTTCTTTTTTTTTACTTGAATTGTTTTTCTTTATTAAATAATAAATCTGATTTGTACAGCATTTTAGTAGGATGGTAGTATTTTAAAGTGTCAAAAATATAATAATCAGACCCTGCAATAGAATAAATCAAGTTTCACTTTAGTTTTTCAAGTAACTCAACTCTAACTCACTCACTCACCATCATCAAGGTTATCTTTTAGGAATATAAGCAAGTCCACATTTCCAGGTAGAAGCTGGGATGTTTGGGTGTTTACAATATCCCCTGCTGTGGAAAAAACTCTCTTGCTTGGTACTGATGTTGGGACAGAGAGATATGCTTTGGCCATGGGTGACAGCAGTGGGTAAAACTGTGCATTGTCTCTCCACCACTTAAAAAACAATACAGTGTTTGCCAAGAAGGTGAGGCTCATTGACAGGGCGAGATATAAATATACTGTTGGTACTTGTCAATGTCTCTAGGTATGTACATGTAGCCCTGTAAATACGATGTCCTTTATTGTTCATGTTGTAACCTACTTGCTGCCATGTTGGACAGGTCTCCCTTGAAAAAGAGATTGATGATCTCAATGGGACCATCTGGTTGAATAAAGGTTTAAAAAATATATATATATATTAAAATATATATATTTTGTCAGTCTCACGACGGTATTGAGACATTTATTTAACGTGATATCGCGATATTCGATATATCGTTACATCCCTAATATATATGGAATTTTGTTAGAGGAGATGCATTCAACATTTATAGGCAATATCCACATATTGCAGTTTGTTACTAGTGCAATGACAATACAGTTGAATTGGATATTACTGTTGTTTGAAAATGAGCGTAAGGTCCCTTTCAAAACAGAATGAATTATCCTGTTTTAATTGTGCTATGTTTGGGTTATTTAAGAAAATAATAGTTTTTTTCAAATTGTTTTGAGTTGTTATGTTTGTGTTTTGTCAGGTAGTTTTTGTGTTTGTGGGGTCCATGTCTCTCTGGCTGATGTATTATGGTTTGCCTGAGGCGGTGTGTGTTCCTGCAAAAGTGGAAGTGTTGCATTATGGATGTGGAAGCAGATAACCCACAATGCAGTCACTCAACGCAGTGCAAACCTGAGATGGTCGCACTTATCCATTCGACACAGCACACACACATGTAATACGATTCTGAGAAAGTCAACGTGTGCAATGTTACAAATGCTGTCTTACTGACTGCTCTGGAACCTGTGAGACACTCTGTCCTCCAACGCTGTCCGTAACTCAGTTTTCTGTCAGAAAGAAGGACAGTTTAGTTTAATTTATTCCTGTTTTCTTTATCATAACTCTTTAAGTTTTGACAACCAAAGTGGAGAGGCACATTCCCGGTTGAGAAAAGATAGAGTGATGAACAAAAATCATTAAATGTCATCCAGAAATGATGTATTGTTCTACTGTTTATCCAGGCATTAATTACAGTCCTGCATACAGCATCATATTTAACCATTCTCAAAGTCATGCTGACCTTGTGGCACAACTGAAGTATAATGCTTCTTCATGTCATTTGCATAAGACACATATGGTGGATTTAGCCGTACCTTAATTTGCATGTTGCTGAGCAGCGTCCCACTGTTCAGCAGCTGGTTGTACTGCAGGCCCCAGCCCACCTCCCCCACATAGCCCTGCCTGGGCATGGGAGGGGGGGCATGTGTGGCACCTCGGCACAGGTACCTGAGGTCACCTGTGGCCTCTGCTGAGGAGGCGCCCACACCGATGTACCGGGGGAAATAATTTGATCTCGGCCGGTAGTCTCCAATTCCATCTGGGCCTGGTTAGAAACAGTGGACATGTGAGGAAAGAAGAACACATATCCAAATGAACCTAACCCTTTACTCGCAGTTACGGTTCTACAGTCACATATGTGTAAGAAAGAAAGAAAAAAGAGTGCATCAATGTATTTTCTTTAAAACATGCACTCTCTCTGGTTTACTTTTCAATTAGTGTAAGCAGACACATGAACACTGACAAAAATCTACATAACTGTGTGCAGTATCCCACCAAGTTTTCATATCCTGAAATCTTCTTTTTGTTCCCTTTTTGTGTTTCTTTGTTCATTTCAATGTCTTATTCTCAGATTTTCTTTGCCATGAACATTGAGAGCTGCTAAAAATATAGAAAAGATATGAGAACAAAAGTAAAATATGACTTCTTGGATATTGACCATACGTTTTGGACCTTGAATTGTTTGAAAAGAAGGTCTTCAAACTTACTGTAAACTGGGTATGGCAGTCTAACAATATTCCCTCTAATATCCTATTGTGGTCATGACATCAATGACAGCTTTTTTTGTATACACACTATCTACTTCCTCTAATGCACTGTAAAATACCGACCTAATAAAGGTGCATGCTCTCCGTGTTTCTCCTACCTGTAAAGATCATCCTCTGTCCAGGCTGTGGCCCTCCTGCAGCTGCCTCACTGTTTTTCATCATTGTTTAGTTTAGTTACAGTCTGTACATACATCTATATAATGGGCCCTCTGGGGATAACTCGAGCCCAGCGGTCTGCTCTGTCCATGGGGTCATGGTCGGTTGTCATGCAACCAGTGGTTGTCATGGTGTCACTGGTTGTGTCCTAGTTACATCATAAAAACGGTATGCTTCTGCTATTGAAGCATGTCTATTTGAAAAAAGAAAACACTTCCATACGCTTATTTGAAGCTAATGCACTTGCAGGATTCTTCCAGTTAAGTGGTTTTGGATCAAGCTTAATGAAATATATGTCACTTTTAATGTACATTTACTCTCTATTACTTAATGAAATAGATTGATAAAGGAATAAATACTGCATACATCTTATCAGAGAGCTCTCTTTTATTTTTAGTATAGCGAACAATCCCATTATATTAACTGCATTCTAAATAGCCTTGGTCTGTGGCTATTCATATTCTCAGACTGTGAGATTTCCCTCAGACAAAGCTTGGGAGAAGGCACTCCCCCCTCCCCAATGATGGGATCATCATTATGTTAACTTCATCCCAGACACGCAACCATTGAGCTAAGAATGCCTTTTGTGGTTTGACAGAACTCCAGACTAAAACCAATGCATTACAAAATGTCTGTCCTACGGCATTTATTTGTTTCTGGGGAAAGTGGGGAAAGCTGTATTTTGGTAATGGCTAATCCGCAATAAATGTGTCTTTTTGACTGTGTCTTTGTATCTTTTTAAACAAATCACACAGAGTTAGGGCTTTTTTTATGAGATCTTCATTTGATAACTTGTTTCACTTTTATTAAGTGAAATTGTATAGAAACTCTGTGGAGCTCCTTGGGAAGGCCACTCCCAACAATAAACATTTTGTTATATCATTGTGTGTTTTCATACCTGGACCTAAACACGTGTAAGTCAAAGGTATTATAGTGTATTAATTATGTATGTATCTATTCATCTGTTTTCTTATTTCTTAGCCTCTGGATTAATACAAGTATTTATTCTTCTTGTGTCCTTCCTGAGCTGCTTTACATTTTCCATCTGGGATTAAAAAAATACAATCTTACATTTAAAACCCTGTGGAAACACTTTAGTGTATGTGTCATTATCTTATGATGTCGTGGAGTTATTTAAAAAATAATTGATGTGGATACAAATAGAGATAAAAAGCTGCCAGAATTGTTTATCCGTACAATTAAAGTGTGTTTGTCTGTGGCACACAATAATGAGTTTACATGCAATTAACTCGGCAAGGACATTTATAAGATATTCGGTTATCTTATCTTGATAAAATGCATAAGTAGGCCTATTACTAGTTTTTCTTTTAAAGACATAATTATCGCATGCATAGTTGTAGTCATATCAATGTGTATTACCTCATTGGGTCACTAGGTGGTTGCAGAGCATCACTTATCCACACTCCACTCCCCCTTCCCATTCCTACTTTTGTTCCATTTTTCTTTTTTTGTGAAATGGACTCGCCCATGAGCCGCCCCTTGTGTCTACACCGCCGTCAAGTCAAACACAGAAAGCAACAGCTGGACAGGAAATGGAATGATTATGCCTTAAAAATAAGATATGAGTTCATTGAGAACACCGAGCAATATAATAAGCAAATATAATGACAGTATTGCCTTGGAGTCACTGAATCAAGAGCTTTGAGCTAATTAAATATTGGAATGTACTACAGATCATAATGCTCGGTGCACAGAAGGGACAGCTGCCTTTCATGCCGTATCGACGTCTACTGTAAAATGAGCATCTGTCCTTGATTTTGATTTGAGTTTTTGGAGGTAATCTGATAGGCTATTTAATGTAATACAAAAAGCAATAGTTATGCATTCATTATGACATTTTGCTTTATTCAAGGTTTAAAGATTCAAACATGTAAAGATTGTTAACGTCATGCAGAGCTGCAGTGTAGTGGTGCAATGAAAAACCTGGATCACAGGTTCCTCAAACAATGAAATATACATATACAAGACATACAAAAAATACAAATACATTAAAAAAACAATAACAAACTGCAAGCTCGGGGAATTTATTGATGCATGCAGAGGAAATTATATTGCAGAGATAAATCAATTTTGAGGAGCTAAAACAATAACCTGAATATTAATTTACCTCAGACCCCTCCCTAAATACAGCGTCCTTTTCATTGTCTCTTTGTATTACCGTCAAACACGTTGGAGTTTTATTTTGAACATCTTTACAGGAAGTTTAACCGTAAACTGTGTCCGGCTTTACCCCGCTGTGTCAGTCACCATGGTGGCATACAACAGAGCACAGCGGCGGCGGACCTATCTCCACTTTTAGCTCCATTAAAAATGCTAAAATAATGGGATTTCTCAGTGAGTGCTCTCGGGTCTACCTCTCAAAATGGACTTAGGTGTATTACTGACAGGTTAGCAGTTTCGGTTAGCATACTTTTTTGTGTTTGCTGGTGCGTAATTTCTTTCCGTCGCTAGCAGAATGCTGAAGAGACAAGGAATGGCTTTCATGAACGCTGGCTTGGATAAAGGGACATTTTCTGCACTAAGAAAATAACTCCAAAGAGACAGTTTGAGCTGCGGCTTTGTGAGAAGTTTCCTCCCGGTGGGACGGGTGTTGGCAGCCGGTTTCGGGCACAGAGAGACAGACACCCCGAGGAGACTGTCGGCTGTCTGGCTCCAGTCGTGGCCTGGCACTCCCAGCTTATCCGCTAGCATTGGGATCACAAGCGACAAGAATACAGCCAAGACAGCAAGGGGAGGGGAGGGGGGGGCATTTATTTTGTTTATATCCGTGGCTCTGGATATTCATAAACACTTATACAGGATAAGAAATTCAATATCCTGCAGACGGTGTCTTCCAAAACAATGGCGTCCTATGTGGATAACAGCTTTCGGCAGGCTGTGATGATGAATCCGGCTGAAAGGACGCAACAGGTCAGAAGAAATGATGTATTATACTAATGGAATGTGGTGTAAAAGTGCTCGTATGCGGTGTGCTGCTACTTTACGGCATTGCAACATTGTATGTACATCCTGCAACAGTGTGTTTCTGTGTGCAACTGTTGTCATTAAGGGTTACGTATGGCTACATCCCGCTAAACCCTCTATCAGCAGAGATAATCAAGACTACTTAACATAACAGGAGCTGGAGCCTTGGTGGGAATCTAAGATAATCTTGCAGCAGTGTGTTTGTGCATCCTGCTTTTAGCATTTTAGACGTGTGCAGGTTGTAAAAAGCAGTCCAAACTTGCTGGTGCAAAAAAAATGATTCATACAAATGGTGAATACGTAGCTTTTATGAGAGACACAGGCTAATCCAAACCTAGCTAATAGCCTTTACTAGCATACCAAAAACAGACCCTACCCTTCATTATTTGTATCAAAAGGTTTTGCACACATTTGAAAGTCGTCGGGGTTAAGACTATCTTTGGGGTAGTTTTAGTATAGTTTTGGCATTTACTGAACCACATAATTGGTCTAATTAAGTTCTGTGAAAAATAATTAAATAGTATTTTCTTATTTCTTGTTTTTCAGGAAAACAATCTGACATCCTTTCTGTCCCACAGTGTTACAGCAAAGGGGACAGTGTAGATGCAACGGGCAGAATGAAATTAGTTGACAACAATTGAAAGCTGAGCACAATGTCCCGTCCCCATTATACATCAGGTTTCTGTGTGGAGTTATTTATCTTCTGAACATTACAATCCTGTGGTTTCACAGACACGCACCTCATTTTGCATGACCTCCAATAAACAGCTACAGATACATGCACTAAATCCAGGTTAGTTGTGGAGATGGAATCATTTTATTTGAGCCCTGCTTTCACTGCATGTTCAGCATGGCTTTACACACAATGGACAGTCGATCGGCCACCACTTAAACCAGTGTGGGCTACAGTTAGTGGCACAGCCGCCTGCCTGTCTATTTGACATTGAGGAAACGATTATGGTGTCATCGTCGGCTTGTTAACAGTACAAGCCCATGGTCTTTACAGCTTTGTGCAGGCTATAATTTGTACCGGTGGCAGATTCCATAATGGTTATGGAAACAGAGACACTAAGAATTTGGTTGGCATCAGTAATAGCAATGCTCATCTAAAAGCATTATAGTCTGTTTAAGGTCTGAAGGTTTGTTATCATTTCTGATGAATCTGAAGTTTAAATTCTCACGTGTGTCCATCAAATACAAAATGAAACAAAAATGCCCCTCAAAGCTTCTTTGGGCCAAAAGGAATGTCATAAAAGTAAAATCTTCAACACAATCAATCAATTATTATATGATTGAGCAAATCCTCACATTAACTTATTTGTTCGTGTTGTCGCCCGGGAGAAATTTGACTGAATTCATTTTTTTTTTAATTCTCATTTGTTATTTGCCAATTTATTTTTGATTGATTTACAAGAAATTGCTTGTATTTTATTCAGTTGTGGAAGTTACATATGTGATTAGTTTCCCGCCAAATTGGTGATTTTCTCAGTTGGAAATAGTTGTAGTGTTGATGATATGTTCCTTTAAATAATTAGAAATAGCCTATCAGTGTTCTTTATTGTTGAGATGAGTGAGGATGTGATTCAGAACTGACATGTGATAAAACCTGCACATCCTGAGACAATTACATCCACATGGCTTTCACTGTCTTCTACGCCTGAATGCTTTTAGTGAGACTTTCCAAACATGACGGAATTTCTAATCTAGAACATAATCTGATTTATAGATACTGAGGCTTGGAGCACACATGGTATGAACCAAGGATGTATCAATATGCATAACATTTATATCAGGAAGTCTTTGAAACTATGATTAATGAATGGAGAGGAGACTAGGACAGTTTGAACACTGACTAAATGAGTTTCAAAATCCTTCACGAAAAGTCTAGTACCCTAAAAAGACATGCACGACTGCATCCAAATATCACAATATCTTTTGACTAAAAAACTCATTTGCAATGACACTTTATGGTTGACTTTATGTGCTTTCTTAGTGGATAAAGAGAAACAATCGCAATTCCAAAAGGACATGCCATCACTAAACTGTAATTCAGCCTTTAAAACCTAAGACGATATCTTGTCTCATATTACAATATCCATGTAATATCAATATATTGCCCTATAAGTCTTTTTGCCCTGGCTTTGAAAAGCAGTACATTCCTGTCTTCTGTGATTGTTCTGCAGTAAAACCAAGGAGACATGTTCATAATAACAACGTCTTTTCGACTTTAATCTTCATGGTGTTGAATATATTGTGACTGTGTGGTTGTTTTTCAATAGCAGCACCTTCTCCGGTGTTCTTTTCAAGTGTCTAGCGACCGTGGTGCCTGACTCTGTTTATCCTAATGGTGTTGGCAGGGCCTCTCCGTCGGGATTAGCTAACGGTTAGCAGGATCCGTCTTTATCTCTCCAGTCTGACCACAGTGGGATTGACCCTCTGCCTCGCCCTATTGTCACATGACAGGTTCAATTTCTGCCCACTTGACAGCTAGTGTTCACACTGGTTTTGTCAGTTTCCTCTGCATGGATTTGGACTGTAACTGGGAGTGCAGTGTGTTTTTCTCTCGGCGTACAAAGCAGGCAATCTGATATTCAGGAGCGCAGAGGGGGCTCTGTAATGCACCGCTGCACAGTTTTGCAGTTCTGATATGAAATATGATAACATGCATGGCAATTTAATTTCTAATTAATTTTTTATCTTGAAATTAAATCATAAATCTCGGGGTTATAACATCCCGTTTAATAAATCAGCATTTTAAACATGTATTGTGGTTTGGGGTTTCAATTGAGTTAGTTCAGCAACATATTTGACCTTTAGACTTTACCTCCTTTTTCAGATCTGTAAAATGTATACATCTATTATTCAACAAAAATCGTTTTAATCATGACTACAATGATTTGTGTATTGCTGTAATATTACAGTATAGTTTTAAAGTGCTGTTTACATTTCCCGCCAAAGGATAATATTCCCACAATGCAGCAGCACTATGGTAACATTACAGTATTGCTGTAATATTACAGTATGGTTTTAAAGTGCTAATATTCCCACAATGCAGCATCATGTACAGTATCACACTGTATTACACATTCAAAGTAAATGACTGTGGGTAATTACAGACATTCGTGACAGTGCAACTACAACATTCTTTAGACAAAGACATCTCTACCCAATGGTGCTGTTCAGATAATGGATTTCATCATTGTGGACTCAATCCACTGAGGGTTCATGGGGGTTTTATCTGAAAGAGCTTCTCCCCACTGTCTCCCCTTAGGGAGGTCTTTGTATTCTCTGTTCAGAAAGACTGCAGGAGATCGGACACATGATCAGATTTGCAGGCGACACAGTGACAGAGAAACTGCCTCGGATAGTATGAGTCTATATTTAGGCAGCGCACACTCATGTTTATCAGATCCTCTAACTCAATCAATCAAAGATATGGCCGTGGATTCTGTTAGACACCACAGCATTGCAAACATACCTTGACATTTTAAGCGTTCCTTTCCTTTCCTTAGCAATTTGGACTGTCAGTCAGAATAAAATAATCTGTAATAATAAACCCTCTTTCTAAATCTGAAAATTAATGTTTGGCTATTAAACAAATCCAACATTAATGATAGTTTCTTCCCTAGAATGCTTGTTCGCTATCAACCGTGACGTAAGGACTGTGTGTGTGAAAGTGGTATCTCTGACATGTTTGTTTGTCAGGTCACGAGGTGGGGGTCGGGCTAGTTGCCGTCCAAACTCCGCTTTGAACTCTGTTTTTCACTTGGAATAGTGTGTGCTGCGTGCTTTGAGAAATGCTGGTTCATGTTGTCCCTTATTTGATTTATGACTGCAAATGTGCTGTCATTTCTGTCGTCCATTGGGCGAAACTGAACTGATTTGAACCGTATTTGTAGATGCAGCATTAGTTTATTTAACTGTGGGTCATAAGGAACCATGATTATGAAACAACTTAATCAGTAATTAATGTCTCAAATCACTTTCTGTAGTCTTATAGGAACACAAACCTGCACAGGTAAGTCCTTTGTCTTTTAGCGTGTGTGTTGATGTGCACTAAGAACAGTCCTCTCTCCTCTTGTTTGGCCAGGTGTTGAAGCTAAAGGCCACAAACAACAACAGTCCTCTGCTGAGGTGACCCGGCTTCACAGTCACATATCTGCAGGGACAAGCTGCCTACTTTGTTTCCACATATTATTCACAGGAGATCAGCACAAGCCTGCGGTGACCGTACTGAACGAGAGTGAAAACAAATCCATCTAGGCCGGATATTCTTGACCTCAGTGACTTGTTGGGGAGAAAAATAAATCTGAATTTCCAGGCCGTTAACCCGTCGTTACTCAAACTCAAATACAAACGGTGAGGACTTAAATGGTCCAGCTAAAATAGCAAACATTCAAATAAACAAATCCTTTTCAACAACCGTGGCCTCACAGAACAACATTCAATAGAAACATATAAGAGCCAAGCATAACAGACCTAGTAAAAAGGTATTTGTTTTAAAAATATTCTAAAGGAACACAGTATTCACTTAACTTAAGATGAAACTGGGAAATACCTGCAATTTTCATTACAGCAAATAATCTGTGTTTTATACAAAAAGTCAGTTTGCTTAATGCATACATCTCCTTGCATTTAAATAAGTAAATGCTAGATTCATACTTCCAGCAAAAGTGACATTTAATGGGCAATTGGGCGATATTGCATTTCAATATGAGAAAGTAGCTTTTTGCCACTTTTAATCACATTTAGTTTAATTTTTTTTGGCTGTAGATAAAAACAATATTAACTTGCACTGAAACTATAAATACTGACATAGGGCTGCTCGATTATGGCAAAAATCATAACCTCGATTATTTGGGTCAATAATTGATATCATGATTATTAAAAAACGATTATCCATTTACTTTGAAAACACACATTTATTGGAGAGAAAAAAAAGTGAA